CATTCAAATCCATTAAGTAGTTTTTGCTTGAAAGAGTAACAAACGTTCAATTATTCATTCGATCACACACACTTTTGTATTTATAATATTAATAGGTGTGAAGATGAGAAGGAAGACCTAAAATTAATTTAATTGACCCAAACCACAATTAATTAAGATTTGGTAGGAAAATGATAATAGAAGTAATAGGTAGCATTAGGAGTATCTGCACATATTGCATATACTGCCTCAATAAGAATGCACGGCTGTCTTGAGACATCCCCCCAGGTTGTTGCAATTTTACGAGCGAATGCCCCTAGCCGCACCAAGCCCAAGACGAACCCCTGCGTTCACCACGCACCGCACATAGCCGCAATCCTATGTCAGGAACAATCGAAGGAATTATTTAAAAGATTTGACCATTTGTTTGTATTTGTCTTTTAAAACATAGGATTCAGAAATCTAAAAAATAATTGTCACTTGATTCTTTTTACGAGTATACTGTATTTTTTATAAGTATACCTAAATACATAATAATTACTATAATGAAGTTTTAAATATTCCTTCTACTACAATATTATTATACTTATATGTAACAAAACAGAATTAAATCTCATTTATAGAATTCTGTACCTCCAAAGGAGAAAATGGACCCCTTATAGGATCACTTCGTTGTCAGTCCGTCTGTCAAGACCCTTTTTTGTAGAAACACGTGGAGGTATCAAGTTGAAATTAATGTCATATACTGAATTCTGCAATCTCTTAAAGCAATAAAAAAATTAAGCTTCCAAATTGACGCAATCCAAATATACGGCCATTTATGTTCCATTTATATCACATATTTTGACTTTCGCAAAGGGAATCAAAACCTATACGGTACTTTCCGTTGACGTAAAATCATGAAATTTGGCAAGAAACAAGTTATGTACTACAAGTAAAGAAAAAGATCCGAAGACCGTAAATTTGTAATTATTTCACAAAAAAAAAAATTAAGCTTAATGATTTTGCACGGAACCCTCGTTGCGCGAATCGGACTCGCACTTTACCGGCTTTTTATCTACTTACAAGAAATAATATTAATAACTTTCTAATAGAAACAATTACCATAAATATCACTGGAACAGTATATAATCGTTTATTTATATAAATAAATAATTATAAACTGTTCTTATAAATATCTACCTATGCATGACGTTCTTCCTTGATTGCTACGAGTATAGCTCATTTATCATATAGGTGGACCGGGTATATTTTTATCGTCGCCCGTGACGATGATTTATTATCTGGCGCTATTAACGTTAAAAATAAAAACGTTCCAATTATGCATCATTTAGAGGAACTCATGCATATAAATCAATGTAATCGTCGGCAAGCTATCGTGTTAATAACAGAGTATGGAGCCGCCACGAGTCTAGCGACACTGAGTACTCCATTCATATGCATCCAATCAACGCTACAACGGTGCATTGAAAAATTGTTAACGTTCATAGATATAAATGTATTGTAATTTACGAAAATAGCTTTTTGGACAGCTCAAGATAGCGGATATATAGAAAAATTACTAAATATTTTTATGTTAATAGCAGATAGATATTTTGAAATAACTTACTTTAAACATAAATGGTCAATGCATAAGTCTAATGCGACGGATAAATTGAAGATGTATAATACGTATTATTATGTGAAATTTATATAAGACAAATAAAAAATAAACCATAATAATTATTTTTTTCGAATAAAAAAATTCCTTAATTATTATAATCTGTTTCAAAAAGATAAAAAGGTAACCAAATTTTATTAAAATTATTATTGGGGCAAATTCTGTGGTGCCATTGCGCCTCAGAATGTCTTCTGAGACATTCTGAGGGAAATGTCTCTAAACCAATGTCTAAAATTTTTATTTAAGATTGATATCACAACAAAATCCCTATTTTAAGAAGGTAGGTATAATATTTCAAAAATAAATTATATTTAGATTTTATTTTAGATTTAAGTCAACAACAAATATAGTTAAAATAGTAGTTCCACGAATTAAAATATTGGGTTTGGCTCCTTAGAATCGAGGCCTCCCTCATTGACTGCCTGGCTCATAATGAACGGCCTTGATCCACCTGAATCTACTGACTCCCTGCAATGCATTTGAGGTCGTCACTTCACCTAGTGGGGGGTCATCCTGTACCATGTGTTGCCCGTTCGGGATACCAGCTTATTGCCACTTCAACTTACTTATCCTTCAGGCTATGTCGGCGACTTTGGTTCTTTTGTGGATATCCTCATATCAGATTCTGTCATGCCAAGAATGAAATTAATTTATATGAAAATATTAAATTCCTATTTCTTTGAATACAGGTATTAATATGCATGGCCAAATTTAAAATAAAACAATAGGTTTTCCGCGACTACGCCTTTATGGAACTGTCTTTTTTTTCCATGAGATTCTTTAAAAAAATCCTTTATTATCTATGTAATTTGTGTGCAAAATGTAATATGTTTTTGATCGATCACTTTATTTTTATATTTTAATGTAGAAACGACTATTTCTATAGTTGTTTATCATCTATTTTCAGTGCTGCGAATCCAAAAATTCCATAAAACAGTAGAACAAAGCGGCATAAACGTAACAGTCATTCCCAATGCTAAGTAAAACCATGACTGCAGTCTGTTTATTCCCACGGCAGCAAACCAGTAACCCTAATACATAATTGTATAACTTATTCTAGTAGCCATAATGTTCAGTATTGAATAAACAGCTCACTCAACCCCGATAGGAGTTAAACGTAGTCACCCTGGGAACGGACACGCGACCAAGTAAATTTAAAATTCCATTTCCTAGCATTGCGAAAAGTTCAAATTGCTTCGAGCTACATTAATAGGTTCACAGTTGTCTGTAGGTACATTTTGTTTGAAACAAGTAGTAATATAACAAAATATAGAACAATAAAATATACAAATCTATTATGATTTAATTTATAACGAGACAATTATTTTTCTCTTTTGATTGAACAACCAATTACGGCATAAACCCAAGACCCCTTTTTTAATACTTTATCATTTCATCATTTCAGTCATTAACTGTCTACTGCTGAACATAAGCCTTTCCCATAAAGGGAGATTTGCCAGTAGTTGACACGCTTGGCAGACAGGTTCGTAACTGTATTAGGATTTTAGAGATTTTATTTTCAAGTTTTTAGAGATGTTTCCAGTACTTACATATATAAAAAAAAATTTAAGCTTCTTATTGGATGACTGGTTTTACGCTATATAAATTTTATAGATATATATTTTCCTTATTTTTATATATACTTTCCTGTACACACTAGTAACACATGTAAAAATATGATGAAGTGGAAAGCAAAGGCACAAAGACAAGCTTAACTCTGCAAGTGTTCTTTTCTAGCAAACCCAACCCTAACGTAATTTTCGTTTGCAAGTAAGATTAAATAAAAAATATTATTAATAGTTTATTACCTATACTTAAAATACCTTATTGGTCGTACGTTACATTACCCCATTCAACTTAAGTGTCAATTTAAGTTAATGCTCAATCAACTCTGGTTCCCTTTAGAAAATATCATGGTTAATTCTTGTAAAATTCGTCACAGTGAACTGACTGATCTGCTTTCCTTCTCATCTATCATCTGTCACAAATACCTCGCCAGCGTATGCCGACAGCATAAGGCTTACGATTTCATTATCACCTATTAAATAAATATATTCTCTGAAATGTAGGTAGTACTTATATTGGTGTATGAAATGGCTACGGATATTTCGTACACTAATACATCACATAATATATCATAGATATCGCATAATATATTCATAATACATAAATTGTTGGTAATAGTCTAGTGATTCTATACACTGAAAGGTCGACCTCCACACGGTCGCACCTGGAAATCGTTATGATAAATTGCACCAGCGTATATCGATGGCGTGGAGGAGATTTCAATATCATTATCATCTAAAAAATACTATCAGTAATAAACATGATTTTTAAATAATCATAAATTCTAAATGATACGGTAACGCCATCTATACAGGAACGGTATGTACTATGATTCAACTGAAAGCAAAGGCAAAGCAGGACTTGTTGGAAGGTTTATTGATACTCGTAATCTTAATAGTATCGAATTATAAATATAGGTGTAGCTTAGTACAATACAGAGGACACTCAAAAATTCTAAAACGACTGGAAAAATAAATGAAATATGCCTTTAGCAAGTGGCAAATATATAAAAGGCTAATCATGTTTACACCAATGATGGTATTTAGAATATCCAGACTGCCTATAATATGTATCTATTTTATTTATTTATAGGAATATCTCTCATAGAATTACCTACCTATAACTATCTCAGTATCTTAATTTTAAACAATTATTGTTTTTATCAATAAAAGGTAATAAATTTTACATTGCATAGGAGCAATATCTTTTAACAGTAATAGTTTTATTATAATGTTATATCTATAATTATGTATATTATTAATTTTCATGGTTTTGTTGAACAGTATCTTTATAGACAAAGTTCTAATTAAATAGTGACCCAGCTAACCTTACAAGTTAACAAGCTCTTTTTGGACGATAGGATCTAAGTCCGTTAAGACTCCAGTCTTTCTTTTTTAAAGGAAAAGAATGGCTGTATTCTATAGACAAGAGTAGCACCAACGACATCTTAGGTAACTATGATGCCCACAATATTATGCATGCTTTGCACTGCTCCTCCTAAGAAGCAAGGCATTATTCCTTTCGTGCGTTTGCACTGTCTTTCTTATCCGTATACTTCATATAAATGCGAAAACCTTTTTCTATTATAGAGTAGGAGTACCTGCATACACCTTTTGATTTTTTTTTAATTCTCATACATCGAGAATAGGTTAGAGCTGTCTCCAAGTTGTAAGAGTTATGTTTAAATACTTACTGTAGCTGTATTTCTTTATATTTTATAGTTGTTTCAGACAACTTTAAAACACAATAATCAGTTAAGTTTATAGGGATGTAGAACAAGCAATAAAAATGTATATAATTTTTGAACATATTTACTAATACCAAATCAATCTGAGACACACATCAAAACAGACATATGCACAATCTCACTTAACTATAAAGTATATTCTATTTGTGTTTTTGGAAAACATTTTTACGAATCTGTTTCATCACTATAATAATACTTTATTGAAAAAAAAAAAACGTAATAAGTATAAATATTTACAAAGTATATTTACGGCACTTGATTAGCAAATTGCCGAAATGTAGATTAATAAGTACAAATTAATATTAATAAAAAAAACAAGATGCCCGTCTGCAGATGGCACAAAACATGTTTCAAGAAACAAAATTATTGTTGATGCAATGAAACACAACATTATTACTAGTTATTCGCAGACCGTTACATATTTTTGTACATTTAATCACATAATATAGGATGATTAAGTTTGTGTTGTTTTTATTTTTGAAGCTTCTATGGCATTTATTTCTTCTAAACGCTTCATTTTATTTGTACATATTTCAGCAAATTATTGAAATATAAGGACAATTATAAGCATAGACAAATTTTGTGCAACGCAGAAGATTGTGTAACGAATAATGATTAATTTTAACAACGAAGTATATGATGTATTGATCTTGATAGAATATTATTATTATTTTTTAATAATTACCTACACAGTTAAGTTATATCGGACCATTTATTTGAGATGAATGGAGTAGATCTTGTATTACAAAGTAAAAATAATTTCTAGTACATAAGCCGTGATGTTGGAATAGAGGTTCGTATGAGATAAGATTGTGACAAATTAGGATTCTCTGGGGCACAATGAAAGATCTTCATTTAAACATGTTTCATCTACGACTAATATCGATAAATTTATTTAATTGATAGATATGTAAATTTAAAGTAGATATATTTGTAAAATGCATCCAGAAAAAAATATATTAACTCTATCAATGTAAATTACCCATTTGATTTAAATTTTAGTCTAAAAAAAATAAAGACAGAAGAAGAACGATTTATGTACAGAATCCTGAATTATGGGATGATGCTTCCCAGTTCATTAAATATGTGATGATAATCGTAAAAACTACATTTTAATTTTTTCTACAGAAGTAATAGGATTATATATTTATTATTTTTAATTTATAAATTTAATTAAATGAGATATGAGAATTCATGAGAGTAGAACCTCTATTAGCATTTTACTTGTTTTCCTTTCACATCTTTAGATTTTAGGTACACTTTCAATTACAATATTAACTGATTATAAAAAACAAATTGTTGAAGATGATATTAAATACTTGATAAATGGTATAAATTACGTATAATTAACAAAATTTTAGCAAGAAGATTACCAAAGTGTTGTATAAATGTATGCTCACATTTACCTATAAATGTTCAGGGTCAAAAAAATCACATGTGCTGATTTTTTGCTATTTAGATATACTCTCATTCAAATAGTTCGATCATCAACAAGACTATGATATACTATTTCTGCCAAAATCCAATCCAACACGATCAACTATGCTGTAGTAAGAGACCAACAATTTAAGTACTTATTAATGATAATTATAATCGTGGACGGAGTGTTAACAACATTTTAAAGGTGTACTATAGAGATGATATTGTTTTGTAACTAATAATGAACATGATAACTTATGATACATGATGTAACGGTGTTTAATGCTACCGAAGACTGAAATTAACCAAACGATATTACTGGTTTATCATTAAAATAAATTTCTTTTAAAAATTTCCGATTTCTATTTATCAAAAAGCACCTAAATGCATAAAATAAATTTAGCAGTAAATTATACATATATATTTAAACTAATTCCTAATAATATATTTTATTTATTTTAATAAGAATATGCAATAAACAATATATTTCCACAATTGATTAACGATCGTGATTAATTTCTCATCTAGATTATAATAATCTCAATATCAGATCTCTATTCTTTTGAAAGATATTTTATATGACAATATAAACTCACACCTTGCCCTTTAGGGTAGCCAGTATTAAATATATTTTTCTCAGTATATTTTAAATTGAAATTATTTATAATAAAATATTAATCAGTTATAACATTTCTATTGCACTAGAATTTTATGTAGACATTCAAATATAGTAGTATTGCTTTTGAACAACTAAATGTATAAGCTATATACATAACACTTAAGGTTTAAATTAGCGCTAGTTATATACTGTTTTATATGCACAGTAATAATTATTTGAGATTTAAATGAGAAATTTCGGAAAAATCTTTATGAGATTGTATGTAACAAGTCAGAGATTCCCAAAGAGATTGTATCTGAGACCAAGGCCAAATTCTTGTGCACATTTCGAATTCTCTGTGCTTGTATATGCGAAAAATAATTTTAACAACATCACTTAAACTAAGCCCTAATATTTATCGACCATAATAGATAAGTAAATTATTTAGCAAAGTTAACAATAATTTAATCTCTTTTATCTTAATTATTAATAAGCATTTTAACAGATTCTATAGTACCAAATATGAATATTGTACATTAATAAGGCACTTGTGATGCACAAATATTTCATTTATCTATAAATACTACATACTAAATATGTGAAATATAATAATTGCTATAAATATATCTCTAAAAGACGTTATTATTATTCATACACCCATTGACCGATACTAGATTGAACCGTTCGAGGAAGACTTTAACAAATTTTATTTGAATTTATTAGCTCTCAAAAATTATATTATATTAGTCTTTGGTTTTAATGTTATATAAATTTCTGCCAAATATTATTAGTGGCAGGTCAATAAGTGTATGAAAAACAACCTACAAATAGGTATCTATATGACGAATATCAGTCCAATATGAGAAGTTTATTATGGAACAGCATCCTTTAAGTTTTTGAACATGGTCGTAGGTACTTACTTGAACACTGGCTTACATTACCGCCATCCTGTTTTCATCCTTTAAAAATTTCTTCCAACAGCGAAGTTCGTAATTTTGTACTTTGTACGGAACACTTTGTGAGAATTATCTCACTTTTATTTGTGTATTTTTCCATATTTATTCAATGACCAAAGCTAATGAATAAACTATGAGGCCTAGTCACTGATTTTATAAAAGAAAATAAGTTCTTCAATGTACCTACTATTGTATATTCTGGCTTCGATGAAATGCATCTGATCATCTTGAATGAAGCCATAATTAGTTCAATCAGTGAGAATTTGACACAAAAAAAAAACAAACAGATACTCGTTTTGCGGCGTTAAATATGAAAAAATAAAAATAAAGCAAACAATATATCATGATTTATAAAGAAAAATATGCTTAAATTCATTATAATAATTGGGCACATATTTAACGCCGCTAGTAATCGGGGAGCCTAATAACATTCGTGCTAACAACAACACGGTGAAGCGACAACAAAAATACAATTACAATAGTAAATATAGTCGATGGCGTGTGCCATGTAATATAGATTGTTAATAAAGTTCATCATGTTATAAACATAACAGGCATATAAATGTTAATAGTTAGACTATTATAATACATAGTAAATGTTAACGTGAAAGGCCCAACAGCTATAGCTACATGGTGGTCGATGTTCCGATGATTAGGTTACGCGGCGACATGAGGCCGGGACGTGGGGCGGCCGGCCGCGACTCCTGTTAGTTCGAGGGACTCCTCGGCGCCGTTAGCACTCACCTAGCCGGGTTAACGAGAAGAGAGAAAAACAGAATGTTAGTATCGATCAAAATGTCATGGTCCGACACGAGTGCCCCAATCGCGAGACGGTTAACGCTTCGTTGATGTTATCGAGTGCCGTATAACGATAGGTCGGATAGGCAAAGACAAACTATTTTTAAACGATTGAAACTGCCCAAGATAGGCTAATGAAATAGATTTCGATATTAAAATAAAGAGTAACGACAATCAAAGACGATAATTGTATAATAACACGAAGGCAAGATACGGAACATCATATGTACAGAAAATAAAATTTTATGGGGTCATCATAATCAGCCTATTACAGTCCACTGCTGAATATAGGCTTCTCTCAGAAACGCCACTAAGCACGTTTACGGAGTGTTGAAGCAAATCAAGACCCATGAATTTAATAAGGTTTTGGGAGAGAAAAATAAATTAACGGGACCGGCACGACATGCAGAGTTTTATTCAACAAAAGCGATAAACCGTTAACTCGGATTGATATAACTGGTGTACGGATTTCATATAATAGAAATCTGATAAAACAAATATTAAAGGGGAGGCTATCAGGCATTCGCGCCGCGACATTATGTTCTGTTTCTGTTTGTGGCCCGGTTAATATAATTATTTATTATAACGGGTACTTACTTTATTAGTTTACGTAGTTAATGGTTGAAACATGTTAAAATAATTTAGTATGATAATGATAATCTACAGTATAGGATTAAATGCCCAATAGTTCCCAAAAGAGCAATGCTTGAGACATTTAGGTTTATAGGTACAGATGCATCAAACATTACTCAACAAACAAGCATAATAAATTTATCACTTATGTATAACCATAGCACCCAGATGCAAGTATGTAAGTTATTCAACACATTGCTATAAATTTTAATAATAAATTTGTATATGGTAGCATTCTTTTTAGAGATTGTTAATTAGTTGTGATAACATATTTCATGTCATTACATATTTGCATGTTAGTGACTCATATAATATAAATATATAGTTACAGATAATCTGCAAGTTGTGACAATAGCAGTTATGATAGTGCACTTAATAAAATATTATTATTATTATGTAAACAAACGGGAACTTGGCCTTGTGGAGTTGCAATGTTAGTCGTGTGAGGCTACAACTGACTGCACGTCATCAACTTTATTGACTTTTCGATACAAGAAATTATTAACAACTTATCACAATCGCGTAACTCGAATAAAAGAAAATGCTTAGTTCATAATTTCAGACAAATTTATTGCATGTATATCTTCTGAAAATGCATTTATTTACAATCAACAATTGAAACAATATTTTACAAACATCACTGTCATCAGTTATAAAATTATGAATACGTATAAATAATATTTTTGATCCAATTCATTTGATATAAAAAGCGTGAGAGTACGTAGATGGCATTCGTATGCCATATTCGATCCACAAGGACACAAGTGCAAATTATTTTTAACTTAATATTTAAACCTTCAAATAAGAAAGTATATAATACCTAAGGCAAAATAGAAACAACTAATATTAAAAATTTCATATAAAAATCTTACATTGACTAAGAAAAATGTTGTGATAGTAATGAAAACGTCAAGTCAAAGGAGGAGCATTTTATTTTAATACTGGATTGATGGCACAAATTCTGAAAATGCCCATCCATTTGACTAATACTGGGCGAGAGGGCGGAAAGAAGGATTTCACAACCCAAGTGTAGCACCTTTGTGGATTTTATTTGGCAAAATAAACACTTAAGCTTAATAAATATATCCTCTTATTCATGAAAACACGAAAAGACTTCTTAATCCATTTCATCTATTGAAATGTTTCATCTCATTCTTTCGAGCTAAACTTGCAATTTAAAAGAAAGTGACAAAACATACTAATAGTTCAAATAAGTTTATTGGAAATTCTATGTTTTTGTGAATAATGCGGTTTCTCTTTTAGAGATACTGAATATTTCCAGCTCTTGTGAGGACGTGGAACTCCAATCCTTCTTCCCTCAAATGTGTATAATTTATAAATGATACACGAAAAGAACATAATGACTGTTCCAAGGCACATGTTGTGATTATTCATTACCGTTGACTACAAACTTTGTATTACAAGAAAGTATTTTAATACAATAATATATTTATGCCTCGGATCACAACATGTAACAGATCTAAATATCTATAAAAAAAGAAATATAAAATCACAGTTTTCAAATTATGCAGTGTCACTTCTATTGCGGTAAGAAGTAGCTATGGACATAATACGTCCTATACTCATACTTACTATTCGAAACATACCTAACTAATAAGTACACAAATAAATACAAATAGGTATAAAGACACAGAGACAGTAAAGCAGAGGCACCCACGCATTCTTGACGAATATAGTTGCAGCTGCTAGAAAGACGAGTTACGTGACTTTGAATATTTCTAAAATTGTGATGTTCAAGAACGCAGAACTTCCATCACTTCACTGTAATTACTCATTGGAATATCTTTTGAATTCTGAGATTCTATATTAATGGAAGTTCCGAGCTTTGGTGGGTACATTACGAATAAAATCTACAATACAAGCAAACTTATTCATCAAAATAGCATGCGTGCGCGCGCGCTTCTCACCTTGTAAACAAAATGGCGGCGTGAGAGCAATATGGCGGGAATTAAGGGGCCGGCAAGGCAGTGCGCTGGTAAGGGTGCTCCCGCACTTGCGTGAGCCGTCCCGCCCTCCTCACGACACCTAGCGGCATATATATATTTAACATCTGTGCCTTAACAGAACATTTTAAACCTTCAATCAACACTGATTCGCACCCGAGTGACAAAAAAAAAATTACGAGACAAGAATCTATACTGGCAAATTCCATTTAATATTAAAGCTGAAACTATCTCTAGCGAGAAAAATACGAGCCAAAAATGGCTTTGGGTGACCACATTCCGCATAAATGCTGGAAAAAAATTTAATCTCAATATTAACAAGTTCTTATAAAATGTGTATACACTTAACAAACGCAAATACCTATTTGTCTGTTCCTGCCAAAAATACTATTGTAGTTCAACCAATGTAATACTATATAAAAATTTTAAAGAACGCTTTCATTTTGGCAGCAACACTAACCTCTATAATAACTCTTAAGCCTAAAGATTACCTATTTTATTGCTTTGGAAATAATAACAAAATAAAATATTTAACCTCGGGTAAACCCGGCAAGGTACAGGTAATGTCTGGCTTTAATTTCATTTTAAATAAAATGACTCTACAGTGTCAACTGTGGTTTAATAAACCTACACAATAATATACGGATGTATAATATATTTTCATAAAGCTCACTCTTTCCTAACCTAGCTAAAAATCTTTTTAAGATAATAATAATACTTAACCTATGGTATGTTTATAAATATAATAATATGGCTAATAAATTAATAAATTATTTAATAATTGTAACAATAACACAGTAATGAGTTTACGACGACAAATGTTACTGTTACAATACATAAATATTATAACCGCCTAGAATGTTCCATTATATTTGATCGTTATGTTGTGTGTATATTGCTCATTAATTTTGTAAGTGTTGTTAAAAAGTTAAAATATGAATGTGTGTTGTTTCTTTATAATGTTCAAAATCGTATTTGGTCCCTTTTGCTTGTAATCGCTGAATTATGTATGCAAACCACTTCAACATTCAGAGATTCTGTTGTTAATACGAGAGTACGAACTGTTATTCACATTAAAATTTTAATCGTTGGAAATAGAAATAATATAAAAACCACATGCAATATGGTGAAAATTTTGCATTTATGAAAACGCTAAATGGTTTATATAACTTTGTGATATATAGTCACCAAGAAGTTAATGGATTAGTTGTGTTACAAGCAAGGGCTATCACAAGAACTAAAATAGACAATGGACTCTATATAGCTATCACCATTGAAAAAGTATGTAATGATGTAGACGAATAAATATATAATATATAAAACTCTGTCTTTGTATAAGAAACTCGGTAACTTAAGAGTTATATTGGCAGTTTCATTTAGATTACGCTAAATTATTTTCTATTTTAAAACAATTATGCAATAACTGCCATCAACCCTAATACGAGGCAACGGTGATATAGAATTCTAAATAAATAAATTAAGTGTAAATCATAATAAAATTTAAAAATAAATATAAATAAATCTGCAAATTATAATAAATACCTCTGATTATTATTTAAAAACAAAATATACTTTTTACGAAACTGTACAAACAGTCATTGAAAAAAAAAACAATGGTCGTAAAAATTATGATAAAAATATCGTAGGTACAAAATGATCGTTCCACTAAACTATTCGTACTTAAAACAATAAATCTTAATCTAATATTATTTGATGGCGTTTATTATGACTGTATATAAACGTCCTGTAGAATTTGAGAAGCGTATTAAGTCAAGGACGGTAATAGTGATGCGTAGAACGATACGATGCGTGTTGTTGCCGGTCGTATCTTACTGAAGGCTGATGGTATTGCGGCCATTGTCAAAAGCCAGCGAGTAGATATCTCGACGCTGCAAACCCCATCAAAATATTTTATTTCACACAGTACACAAAGCTCGATATTATGAGTACTACAGTATAATTCTACATTAGTAGGTTAGTGAAATAAAATCACGAGCCCTTTCTTAGAAAATACGCGATGCTGCCGTAAGATGAGTTGTAAATATTTTAATCCTTATTATTGGATTACTTGAATACTGTTAATGAGATAAAATGAAAGCCGAAGTAAAGTAAGTCAAGCTGAATTGTGGTGATCGCTATAAATGTATGGTAACAAATAAACATGCATAAAGTCTCAATAGTTTCGCTCTAAACATTTAAATTCGACAAAACATGCAGTTATATTGAATCCAGAGTATAATATACATATTTCAACTTTTTCTTTAATTTTCATCGACTTACGTTAAGTATAATGACTGATTATAAATACACCGTGTTTTTTAATAAACGTAGGCATATACCCGGTACCGTTAGTACGTATTAACACTACGATGTTTGATAACACTAATAATCTTGAATTAAAACAAAACTAGTTCAAAGTATACGCACTGAAGTATTGCAATCGATGCTATATTTTCGAGTATTACGTAAATTTCTTATCACAATACATTCAGCGACACAGTCCGTGCCAAATGAGTGTATAAACAAAAAAAAAACTTCAGGCTTACTTATTTAAATTTACGAAAAATATTTTCGCTAATAGATATTAAAGTATGAAGATTAAAATTTGACGAGGCGTTATCAAACCTCGAAGCGTGAGATCAACGGGCGAATAACCCACCCGTATGGTCTGCAGCGGCGTACTCAGCCGTCAGTAGAGGGCTGGCGGCTGCTGTCAGGGCCGCGTAGTTTGCATAATCGGCATACGGTGATGCGTATATTAGCTGATGCGCTGGTTCGCCTGGCGACAGAAGCCCGGCTGCTGCGCCCGCTGCTGTACCATTCAGCAAGCCAGCCTGTGTGCCTGGCGCAGCTGATATACGCGGCGACAGTATCAGCGGTGCTCCCAGTGGGGCAGAAGTACGTATCGGTACGCCACCAACACCAGCTACACCCCCGCCAGGAGCGAGAAGCCGCTGGGTCTCTACTGCAGCGGCCGCGGCCCTCCTCCACTCCTCGTCAGCTGTGAAGTCCCCTTTATCGTATCAATGGAATGGTATTTGCTATGAAGTTCTATATTTGCGTAGTTATGTTTTTTATGGAACTTGGAATGGCAAAAAGGTTGACGAACCATCTGATGGAAAGTGACAAACCTCGCCTATAAACAAGAACTAAACCATGAACATCACAGAGTACGCTGGCATGTCAACAGTACTTTTCATGAGTTGTCATTCCTGAGGACTAAAGTGTGCCTCGGTACCTTATAATTTCACTGCCATATCCTATTATATGAATAATACCAAATACATAGTCATGCAAACATGTTTGCTTTGCGCAAAAAAAAAAACACACGAGTAGACAGAGAAAATTCGAACTTTTTGCAGCAATTAATCAAACTGTTTAAATCAATCAATACAATCTGTGATAACAAGAGTAGGTGCAATGAAATCACCCTTGTGTTAATAATTAACAACCGTAACATGCTACAAATCCATTAAGTTAGTTACCATTGCAGTTGACGATTACTCATCGCCGTAAATAAGTAATGTTCAATTCAAAACTCCAACAGTTTTACAAGTCTTTGAAAATACTATAATAATCCTATGTACTGTAACTAAGACTATAAATACCTTAAACTGATGCCAGAATAAAGAGTCACCTTGGTTAACATTTAAAGATTTTTTTAAATCTATGAATTCAACTTGTATTTATTTTGTGGATTTTTTCGAAATAATGTCCACAGACACCTTTTATTATCGTACCACTCGCTATAGACAGGTGACTCATCCTCATATCCTAAAATCTAAATGGTTGCGTACAGTGTAGTAGTAGAGTTCAGAGGAGTTTCCTCCCGCAAACGCTCAGGCTATGGAATGAGCTCAATATGGGGTTTTTTAAAAATGATGTTAAAGGTTTCTTAGGATCGGCTACAGTGACCGTTTTCCGTCAGACGAGATGTATAATTGTCACTTTCACAGTATATAAAAAAAATTGTAAATATAAAAATTAACATCACGCAACTACAGATGGAAAAAAATTCAACTGCATCACTTCCAGAGCTGTTACAGGTTGATAGAGCAGTGTAATTTATTAATCAAAATGACTCCCATTCTAAAAGTTAGTAGACCTAAATTATAAGTAGTATTAGTTACAAAACATAAATGCGATCATACTTATGAGGCACTGACCGTTGACTGGCATCGCAGCTTTTGCACTTGAATCGCGATATGTGCCATTTATGATGGCCAGTTCCATTAATTGACGCTTCTTTAATTCATCCTCGCCATCCGCTTGCTGGAAATAAAAAAAAAAAAACATCATTATCGTCATTGGCAACATAATAACATCCTAGCCCAAACACAGGCCTATATCCAATTGTTTGGCGATAAAAATATTATATTTTATATAATAATAAATCAACTAAAAAAGTAAGTTATGAAATTTTCAGAAACTACTAATAATTTTATTCTTATTTTAAGATGAGTTTGTACTTGATATTATCTCAACTGTGATGATAAGTGATAAGTTTAAGGAGTGCAATTATTCAAAAATACTTATTTACCATCGTCTAGTAGTACTAGAAACACTGATAGTTATTTGCTAAAATTGAAAGTAGGTTATATTTTAAAATATTATATTATTAAATATACTTACGGGTACAAGAAGACGTTTGACTTCTTCCACGGCTCTGGCGAGCTTTATCTTAGCTCGGTTCTCAGTATCTTCGACTGTGAGAAGAACGTGTAAGTCGTCAGCCAAATGTTCCCAATTTGGTTTACCTCTGTTTGCATCTTCCTGTAATTTGTCCCAAGAAAGAAACTAAGAAATTATATTTTTATAATAAAATAATAAAAGAGTATTTATATTATGAAGGGGTCGTTTTAAAATCTATAATATAATAAATCATTATGTTATTTATAATGTTACTTATTTATTATATTATCTATTGAGTAAAATGAAGCCTATTTAAATAATTATATGAAACGCACATAGAATTAACGAAAGAATTTCTAATTATCAATTGACATTTACCTAAACATTATGAAACTGACCCTTAAAATTGTATTGCATAATCATTAGCGCTTAATCAGACTTACTTATATAAAATTATAAATACTCCTAATAGAACATTACATATGTTGGTACCTACATCTTTAATCCAATCCCACAATTCGCAGCTGCGAGAAAAAGGCAAAACATTTAATATTATTAGGGACAATATAAATTATCATACACACAATATTTGGCAATACTGATTCTGAAACATCTAAAATAAAAAAAAGCATTACTTTAACCTTATTTTACGTATTACTTACCTTATTTTTATATTTTTTAAAGTTTGATACTTTTGTAACGTAATGTAAACTTACGTTTCGTCTTTTACTTAATTAAAATAAAGTGAGATCATCCTTTAACATTTATTCAACCATTGATTTAATCAAAGGGATTTAATCATATTTTATTCCAAATAATGCAGCAAAAATTTAGAATTGATGCTACTTATTCTTAAATATTAATTACTCTGTCTCTTAAAACTCGAGATGATTTCAGAGAATGACATTGTCTCAGTATTTGTTATATAATCGAAACAATAATCCTAATTTTCAATACAGATGTCAAAATAATATTACCTTTTTCTTATCTCTCATTGATCCTTTTCCTCTGACCATAATTTTGCATCCTGTTTCTTGTTCTAACTGTTTTGCAGTCATGCCTCTGGGCCCTAAAATCCTGCCTACGAAGTTGAACTGTAACAAAAGAATAATATGCTTAAATTTATTGGTCTGAATGAATAACTTTGATATCAGTGTATACCATTGCTCTCATATCATTACTATACAGAATATTTTGAATGTCATCTATGTAGATCCTAAATTTGATTTTTGTATCTGGAGAAGTTTTATGATGCAAGTGATAAGATGTTCCTAAAATATAAAATCTAGATTATCACAGATTAGCTTCGTACTTGCAAATATCTTGGCTATTTAAATCGGTAGGTACACGAAACAACACGTAATGCCATTAGCTGTGGGATTAATTACTCGCTTCGCTACACATAAACCATATTTCCTGTGCGCGTGCACGTACACAGTACGTATATTTAACCTCAATTCCTAAGCTTCAAAGCATCGGTTAGCATAGTGTATATGAACTATGAACCAGTACCATTTTGCCACCATCGAGCGAATCTAAGAAATGGACCAGTTGGCATTTAGCCCAAATAACATAGACATCTAACAATTCTTTTTTAAAGGGATTTCAAATACAGCACTGTTTGCTGTTGGAAAATATGATAATAAATAATAGGTAAAAATTTAGGCTACGAATTAGTCACATGTGTCATGGTTAATTGTTTCGCGTGTCAGCGTGTAAATTGCTTGGCGATGGTATAAAATATGACTGAAAGGTTTACTCGAGCGAACAAAATATGACGTCAATACAAAAACATTTAGAGGGTAAAATTATCGGATGTCAGTTTAAAGAAATTTCGTTTTATAATAACAAGTAGGCTATGCTTATAGATAGCATATTAAATGAAGTTATAGTAAAATTAGCTAAAGGTAATTATTTAACTATAGAAGAAATACGAGACACGGAAGTAAGCGCTCATAACGATACGACACCATTCATTATCGGTCGCGGTCCAGCGCCTGTGACGGTGATAAACGACATACTGTAAATCAGAGAGCGAACAATCGGATCGTTATTTGATATATACAGATTCGGAATTGATTAAAATAAATCAAATCACTTAAAGAATAAACATTAAATAAGACCTGCATAATATATTCAGGGCTTTGCTTTTGCATTTAATAAGAAAATCGAAATAAATTTCAAAAGTTATCGTAAATAAAATTACAATTCTCTGCGAATTCTACAAAAAACAAAACTTATTGAAAACGTAAAATCAAAATAATTTCTGAAAGTCATAAAACAATTTTAAAGTAGATAGTGAAACAAAATTTATGTATAGATTTTATGATTTTATTTTGACTTTGAATATTACAATATTATTACAAAATACCCTTTACGGTTATTTATATGAACGTGGTTTCCAACTAGCATAAAAATCTAGCTGTAATGTTAGTAATTTTAAAGCACAGGACAGCCCTGCCCTGTTTAGTGGTTCACCACAAAACGACTTGCGTGAGAAGATGCCTTTGCACCATAAGCATCCAATACAACTACATAAAATAGTGTAAGCTTAAAATACGAATCATTTATTAGAGGAAGTCGCTATTTTACTTTGGAATGAATAGAATAATTTATGTACCGATGGATATATTCTAAGTAACAAAAAGATATACTTGCAGATAAACTGGATTATAAATTATGAAATTCTTACATGTCTTTATCTTGTAATTTTTTTATATGTTTTCCAGTATGCATTGATTGGCCAATTCTTAAAATATAGACATTCCATTATTGCATATAAGTTTCATATATTGTGACCTAAGCAATCAGACGATATGGTTCTGGAAATGGAAATCTTTGTGTTTAACATACAAATGCATAGCCACTTCCTATCTAAAATTTTCATTTTTATAAATTGGTTGGATATGCTGCATATATGGCAAATTGTTTCATTTGTATGCATTTTAAACAGAATTTGTATCCTACCCAAAAACTAAATGGAATATATCTTAGATATTATATCACACAACATCATCTAGTCTTAAATTGATAAGAATATGTACTGATAAAGATAAATTATTGTACTTAAATATATTTATTTATAATAACTATCTATAAATGTGACTATAGAAAAACTGATAGAAACTTCATTATTTTCCAATGTAATTTGTCATCAGTTTATTGTTGTATTGTACATAACCTTCTTGGATAAATTATTAATGGGACTTATATTCATAATAAACAAATATATGAAATATCCTACATGTCACTTAAGAATACGATCAATCTATGTACGGAAAGACGATCAAACCAATTCAGCTTTTTAATCGCGATTCAAAAGTAAATATCAAAATGTCTGTACAAACTATCACATTTATAATATTAGTAGGATTGTATTGATATAATTTAGAAGTATGTAGCTAACGTAACAATATTTATTCTCGTGAGATATTACAAATGTCTAGCCGTCGCAAATGCCGTTGGACGCGACCGGACGTCGCGACATGTTGAAACGCCGCCACGTTAGTTGGCTAATCGCCTCATCTCTACGGTGCATTTCGTGCAATATTTTTTCAGTATTGGTAACTTTTGATTATCTAATCACGTCTAAAACATTTATTTATAACTTTTTTTCTGCAATAATAGAAATAATTTACGGCTCTGAAACTTAACTATCTGTATTCCTTTGAAGTAATAGAACATACGTATAGCGTTCTTTTTTTATCCCACAGGAAGCTTTTGATCTAATTAATGAAGTTCGTTATATCTATCTATAGAACAGATATCGCTTTTCTGTTCAGTGAAAGATTACAAATATATGTATACTTACATAGAAGTATACCTAGCTCAAATAAATATTTCAAATAATAAATAAAAAATATCTAGATCGAAACCGATTTAAAAAAAAAATTCCTAATTTACCTCAGCAATGATTTAAAAAAAAGTTCACGAAAACGTTTGATACGAGTACAATATCTATAGACACAAATTTTAGTGATATTTGGGAGTTAAAAAAAATCCAGTTCATATAAACAATAACGTGATCAAATTTGAATTTAAAACTAAGAAATTGTATTAGTCTGTTAATGTACCACTCTTAGCGCGGGAGGGCATTCTAACTGTACTATTTTTATATAAAACCTCAAAAAAAATTAACTTTTAATATGGTTTGTATATATATTTATCTATTAGTTACTACAAACTACTTTTTTATAGAATCAGTGTGATAAATTTATGTATTAACATAAAATAAATACCTACAATATTCTATCTGCACTATAAGTATAATTAAGTGCAACCAATTACCACATACTTATTTTTCGAGCGATTTAATTCAAGACTTACAAATATTGAGTCACCTTATAGATTGCAATTAGCACTTACTCAAATAACCTATACAATGTCTGCAATATATATTTCAAACTGACAATATTTTTAAGTAGTATAGACGTACAAAGAATTTCAATTGCTATTTCATAAAAAAAACCAACTATCATATATTTGTTAATATGATAATTCTCAGTAAATTGTGAATTTCCAATATCTATTATTATGTAATACAAAATTAGTAAAGTATCTACTAAATTTGTATTTTTAATGATTTTTCGTCTATATTATTTTTATAAAAAGGCAAAACCATTTAATTTTTTGATATAGATAGCAAGATAATACTTTGAAACTGTTTCTAATTTTTCTCACGAAACATAATCTACATCACTACTGTTTTTTTTTTTTTTTTATTTTCTTATAGTTTTTAATCAAAATTGCAATGAACGTCGAAAATTTGAATATCAATGCCGAATTATATTATTAATATTCGCAGTTTAATTACCTACTACGAACTAATTTCACAATTCATCTTATAATAAAATACATTACAACATTGCTTACCGAAATAAAAATCTACTGAATGTTTCTTTGTAACCTATTATTTTTACACTTTCAAATTGGAATCACTAATCAAATTAGCTATTGTACTCGAATGATACATCGTACTTTGTACCTATGACCCAAATAGAGTGTTAGAGAATCATACAACTTATTTTAAACTCATAACCTGAAGTTTGAAGAGGAAAAGCTCCTTCGAATCACCATCACACTTGATGTGCAATAATTTAAAATTGTCATCATAAATAATTCCTCAAATTAAAATATGTCAATATATAAATTGCTTAAAAACATAATTGTTTACATAACACTTTATTGCTCAAGTTTTAGCTTTAGCTGTTACCTACATAGATAGTTAATGTACCTCTTCTTATATCACTTCTATAAATTAATCTTAAGCATATACGCAGATTCCAAATACGACTCTTCTTTCTAACCATGCCATAGTCTATCTAAAGATAAAAGATCTCTAGTACCTCCATCGTTATTTATTTCATCAAAACAAAGCACGGTTATATTTTGTTTCCATAAACTAGGTAATTCAAATTACATTATAACTGTGCGGTAAATGCAACATCGCCGGCGCATCTACTCGATTAACATTGACCAATGCATTCCTCCTCGAGGCGCAAGCGCATACAGATTTACTTAGTACGTTTAGCGGAACAAATGTAAATCCAACTTATCTGATCTGTGTGAATGTAAAGTAATAAATTAAATAATTATAGCTTATACTTAGAAATACGGGCTTGGAGGGCTTAATAATTATAATATTAAGTGATTAAAATTATATTGCTTTTAAACATTATAAACAATACAATCTATTTAAAAATGCTGATGAAATCTATGAGCTGTATGTCCTTATGCATAAATTTTATTTACGAGTAAATAGATAAATACATTATACTGATTTTATTATTATCAATACACTTTGAGAGCGTAATAAAATATATAAAAAGATAACTAGCGACGCGCCCGGCTTTACACTTTTTTTTTATAATAAATACCCTAATATTACCAGCTGACAATGTAGTTTTCTTAATTAATTAACAAACAATCTTTCCTATATATAATATTTTTCGTCTTAATATAGAAGTATATGGTATAACTCCACACTTGCAATGTCATATTATAGGCAACCATCAATTTACATAATGCACCGAAATCCGGTTAAGCGCATTACAGCGGCATTGCCCTCCAATGCAGACACAATAGTCTTTAGAAA